CCCGCCACCGCCGGCCGCGGGTAGTACCCGCCCGCGCCGGCGCCCTGCGCCGCGCCCGCGCCTCGCGCCGGGGGCAGCGCGGCTCGCGCGCCCGCGGCCGGCTGGCCCCCCGCGGCGGCGCCGCCTTGGGCTCGCAGGTATTGCTCGTATGTCATCCCAGTCTCCGCCTCCCAGCGCCGCAGGTCCTGCTGCCACTGCTCGTACGAGTAGTTGCTCGGAAGGTACCCCCTCGCGCCGCCCCCGCCGCCCGCGGCCGCAGCGCCGCCGTCGCGGTACGCATCAGACATGCCCGCTGCGGGCAGTGCCAGCTGGCCGGCGCCGCCGGCGCCGCCGCGGGCGCCGGAGCCTAGGGACTTGAGGAGCGACGGGATGGCTGCGAAGAGGCCGTTGGACTCCTTGCGTTCGCGGTAGCGGGCGTCATCGTACACGATGACCTGGCAGGGATTATGGGGGGAGGGCGCAGGCGGGCCCGTTGCGGCGCGAGCGAGGGGTCCACCCAGTGGCAGCAAAGATCTGGGATGGGGCTATGGCGATGGTGCGTGCGGCGCAGCAACCCATGGCCATGGTGCACATGGCACATCCATCCATCCCTACATTACATACAAGTAAACCAATATGCAGCCCTTGCTGCACTTGTGCACGCGCCCCCCCCCCCCACACACACACTCACACACACACTCACACACACTCACACACACACACACACACGCGCGCGCACAAATACTGACAGTTGCTAGCACGCCCGCGCATGACTTTCCCAGCCCCACCTCCGAGCGCCCTATGCTGAGGATGTCGTCCGCCCCGACAGAGAAGCAGTCAAAAAACGCAGACGGAAGGCTGGGCAGGCCGAACTCGTCGTACGCGATTCGCCCTATGGCGCCGTTGTCGGGACTGAAAGACAGGTCCCGCACCTGCAAGGCCGCCGCAGGCGCACGAACAAGCGGTGCGTCGCGACCCCGCCCGCGGGCACAGCCGCAGGCGCCGCGTCGACAAGAGCAGCACCGCTACCGCCACCGCCCTCGGCGCTGCGCGCACTCGCGCGTGCCCGCGCCTCGCGCCCCGCGCCCCGCGCCGCACCTTCCCCAGAAAGTCGCCCGCCGCCGTGCGGACCTCGAGCCCTATGGGATTCACAAACCCCAGGCGGCCGTCCAGGTCCTGCTCGTACAGGCCCTGCTCGTCGTGCACCAACACCACGTCCCCGATCTGGCGCAGCGCCCCCAGCGGCAGGTTGCCCACGCGCTGCGCGCCGCCCACGAGCGGCAGGGACGCGCCGCCGCCGCCGCCTTGCGTGGGATGGGGAGCGGTGGGGCGCGCGCCGCTAAGGAGGGGGCGTCGGCAGCCAGACGAGGCCGGAGGAGCGCCTCACCAGCGCGATGCGAGGCCCACGCTGGCCCCGAGCCGCCCCGCCCTGCAAACGATTGACCCGCTCTGCCGAGGAGCGGCTGCGCCGCGCCTGCGGCCCCGCCGTCCCCCCACCCGGCAGCCGTGCATTCATGCATGTGGCTCACCCCCCTTCCTGTCGTCCAGGTCAAATGACACGACCTCGCGCCGCCCCGGGTCGATCCAGCAGCCGCTGAGTGACCCTAGGGCGCGGCCGCTGGTGCGCGTGATCACCTGCTTCGACAGGACCTGGGGGCATGGGGTTGAGGGGTGGGAGGTGGCACACGGTACAGGTTGAAAGGGAGCCGTGGGCACGGGCAGGCCAGGGCGTGGGTGCAGCCCGTTGGTTGCTGCGACCCTGTGAGCAGGTTTAAAAAGCAAACAGGGGCAGCTGCTTGAGCGTTGATGTCTGCGCGCCGCGTCGGGCCCAGCGGGACTGCAGCTGTCTGGATGCTGCCCCGCCTGTCTTCAGCAGGTGCAGCACGCCCCGAGCCCAGGAGCCCGGGCCCACGGCGGAAGGCTTGCCTGAGAGATGTCAAGAAACACAGGTTGTTGAGGCGCAGCCAGGTAGGCGCCACGCGGCGCGAGGGCCGCCGTCTGCTGCAGCGGCGCCTGCTGCGGTTGCATGCCACCGGCTGGCTGCTGAGGTTGCCGAAAACCAGACTGCATGCATGAAGGACGCAGCGGGGCGGCGCGGGCGCCACGCGCTGCTGCGGCGGCCGCGCCAGGTGGCCCTCGGGCTTGGAAAGCAATGAGGGTGCGAGGGCCATTTGTAAGGCTGCGCCTGCCTAGCCCTTGAGCTGCGCGCGCCCTCATTGACGCGCTTTGTCTGGTGCCTTGGGTGTGAAAAACTATGTCGCAGATCACTTCAAGGGGCGGCGAGTTAGAGCTGTGAGGCTTAGTGCGAAAAATCACTGTGGAACACATACATGGGATTCGTCACCGTGCACTGGCCCACAGCCTCCGATTTTGAGCGGCAGGTCAAGCGATCAGGTGTGTCTGCAGCGCACATAGGTGCATGCGCGCGTGTGCTCCGGTCCTCCTCAACCTGTTGGTGGTCCTCTTGCAGAGACCTTAATATCCTTCAGGCAGCAGCCACTCGTACAAAATGTCGACCTCCGAGCTCGCCTGCACCTACGCGGCCCTCATCCTGCACGACGATGGCCTGGACATCACGGTGCGTTCCTAGAGCATGACCCCTCCAGCGCCTTAGTCGCGCGGGGCGGCACAGGAGCACCGGCAAGGGAGACGGCGGCCTCGCGCTGGCTTGCCGAACCGCTTTTAGCCTGGATCGCTCGTCGTCGTACCATTTGCTGGCTGGAGCAGCGTGTCTGGGTACACGAGCGTTGAAGCAGTCGGTCGACGAGAGGTCGGCCTGGCGGCCATCTGTGTCTTCTGGACATCTCAAGGCCCGGCGTCGTTGACGAGAGTGTTCAAGACGGCTTATCAACGGGTGCTGCAGACCCCTGGCTCTATGTGCCTCTCGCTGACGGCTTGGCACACGCGCTGCGCTGCTTGCTGCTTTGTGCAGGCTGATGCCATCACCAGCATCGTGAAGGCCGCCGGCATCGAGGTGGAGCCCTACTGGCCCGCTCTGTTTGCCAAGCTGTTTGCCAACAAGTCCATTGGCGACCTGATCACCAACGTCGGTGCTGGTGCGTGTCTGGTCAGGGGCGTGCGGTGCCTGCATGCAAGCTGAATGCACGTGTGGGGGGTGCTGCTCAACTGTACGGTTTCCCTGCGAATGATTTGAAGCGCACCAGCAGGCCGCGCGCAGCAGCTCAACTGCAGGGTTTCCCTGCGATTGATTTGAAGCGCACCAGCAGGCCGTGCGCAGCACTGTGGCCCGAGCTCGCGGTGTTTCCCTCAGCGTACGCCTCGCACCCCCTCGCGCACGGCTCGTCCTTGCAAGGTGGCGGCGCCCCTGCCGCCGCCGCGCCCGCCGCTGGCGGCGCTGCCCCCGAGGCCAAGAAGGCGGAGGCCAAGAAGGAGGAGCCCTCCGAGGAGGACGAGGTGCGGGGCGGACGGACGCGGGTCGGAGAGTGTCGCAGGTCCGAGCGCGAGCCCCTGCCCGCCACGCATGCACCGATCGCGGGTTCTGCGCCAGCCTGCCGTCGGCAGAGGTTGGCAGGGGGTGGTGACCCCCAGAGCTGGACTGGCAGGGGTCAGGTGCAGTTGCATGCAGAGCACGCCCACAACGCTGCACTCCGCTTGTTCGCGCCTCTAGCCAACCCTGTTGTGGTTTTCGACCAACCGCAGCCCCCTTCGTCAACCCCCCGGCTGACCTTGGATTTCCGCCGCACTGCGCAACACTCGCAGGACATGGGTTTCTCCCTGTTCGACTAAGCGTCTTGGCGGCACGGGCTCAGCGATGCGCGGCGGTCCTGGCTGCCTTTTGGTGGCGGTGCTTAGCGGATGTAATGGCCAGGCCACAATCGGGGGTGTCGGGGTGTGCAGACTGTGTGCTGCCTGACGCCTTTGGAGATTGATGGGCAATGGGCACTTTTGCATGCGAGCAAGCTGGTAGATGTGCAGGCAGCGCAGCTTGACGCACTGCCTCAGCCGTTGGAACGGGCTGAGAGGAGGTGTGGGCTGGAAGAAGGGAGATGCACGGCAAGTTCAGACGGCAGGAGGGTTTCCGCATTTAGGCGTGATTGCCAAATGTTTGTGGAAGAGTCAAATGGCGTTCAAATTTGTCAATAAAGCCAAGCAGCCGCACTTGCAACCGTGAGGGAAGAGCAAGGGCCAGGCTGCGTGGCTCGCAGAGCGCCTATCCACGGCCCCGCTCACCAAGTGCACTTCATTTGGCAGGGCTCTGCCCTGCGCTGGACCTTGGTGGTGGTGCTGTGGGGTGCCCTTGGGCGCCCTTCATCACACACTCATGGCTCAAGGGGGGAAGGCAGGGCAGTGGACTCATTCAACATAATCTTGTACTGCGTGCGGACTAAGGAGGATAAACACTGGTTGCGGACTCAAAATTTTCACGTGTGGCAGCAGTTGAAGGAGTTGTTGAGTCTGAGCGATGAAGCTAGGTCAAGGATGGCGTGCATGCAGCGGCTGCCGGGTGAACGTTTTTGAAAACTCAGATGTGACATGATCTATTAAGTTCTAACGGATGGGGCCCCAGCAACAACGGGACGCGGCCCAGCGGTTATCGACCGGGGCAGCCAGTAGGTACCGGGAAATGCATCAGGCAGCGCTCGGTACCCACCTGCATCCAAAAAGGGTTTTACTTTTGGAATACGATGCATCATTGTGGTTCTTAAGCCGTTGTGTATACCTGTTGGCCTGCGACGGCTGCTTCGAAGTTGAGAGTCCCGTCTCGCCTGTTCAGAGGGTGCTGGCACGCGCCAGCAGGACGCTTCAAAGTAGTAAAGTCTTTGGTTTGATGTCAAAGGCCCACCCAGTCGTGGTGCTGGCGGGGCTGCTGCTCGCGGCCCTGCCAGCAGTGCATGCCGGCCTGTCCATGTGCGCCAAGGTGGAGCCTGTGTGGTGAGCATTGGGGCATACCCAAGCAGTGACAAAAGGTTTGAAGGATTTTGTGTTTCTGTAAACAAGTGTTCAAACGCCGGGCATGGCGTTAAGTGTGTGCCACGGTGCGCTCCACGCAGCCCTACTGCCATGGCAGCCCTCATGCGTGCGGGTACGCGCGCTGGCCGGTAAACCCGTGTCCGTCACCGCTGACAAGCGACTTGTTCCGTTTCATGCCGCATCTGATTGCAGCCAGTGGCCTCTAGAGGAGGCTGGCGCCCGGCTGGGCACTACCACAGTCGACCCCGTCTCAGCCGCAGCCGTGTTTGTTAGGCCCAGCCACAGCAGCATCATCAGCAGTGCAAAAAGCAGCAGCAGCAGCAGCAGCAGCAGTAGCAAAAGCAGCAAAAGCAGCAGCAGCAAACGCAACAGCTCGCCCGGCGCTGTCAAGACCGCGCCCCAGCAAACAAAGCGCCTGTTGTCGGCAGCCGAACAGCAGAGCGAGCCCGTGCTGGAGGCGCCGCCGCGGCGCGTGGCGCACGGTGACGAGCCGCCACGGCTGCCCGCGTCAGAGCGGGCGCAGATCTACCGCCGGCTAGCCGAGGTCATCCGCGGCCACGAGACGGAGGGGGTGTCCACCCCCAAGCGCCGCTCCCTGCGCGAGCGTGCGCAGACTGCCGCCAACGCGCAGCAGTCACAGGCGCGCGCGCAGCAGCTGATGCCCGAGGGCGTCCCCGACATGCTGGGCTCCCTCTTGCGCGGTGCACTGGACATATTCCGCCCGACCACCGCCGCCGCCGCCCGGCGCCCCACGCAAGCGCCGCTGCCCGTGCGGCCGCCGAGCCCCATCCTCAGGGTGCTGGACCCCCACCTCGGCCTCGTCGCCACGATCAACGACCTCGGGATCCTCAACGAGCGCGGGCAGCCGCAGGGCCAGATTGTTCAGGACATGGTCTACCTCGAAAACGACGCGCTGACGGTCGGCATCGACGTGAGGCGCGGCGGCGTCGTCGGGCAGATCTCGTCAAAGGGGATGCCGGCGCCGTTCACGGGGCGCAACCTCGTGAACGTGTGGGACTGCGGGCGGCTGATGCAGCAGAGCTACTATGGATGCAGCGACGGCTCCTGCTGGACCTCAAAGCCGTGGCGCTGGAACCCAGGTGTGCAGGAATCACTGGTTGATGGGGAGGGGGCGAACTCTGAACGGTGTGCAGCGAGCGGCGGCACATCATGTAGCGGAGGAGGCGGCAAGGTGCAGACGCTGGCAAGCAGCCCCGCCGTGCATGCGGCATCCATCGCAAAGTCTGGTTTATCAGTATTCTGAGTGTGTCGTTCAAGCTCTGGCAGCTTGCCTGCGGTAAGCACGCTTTCTTACCAGCAAATGACACATTTCGCCCACACCACGCAGTCCAAGCCGGCTCCTGGGGCAACCTCCCAGCGCGCCTGGTGTCGCAGACCGTGGAGGGCGCCCCCAGCAGCCCCACCCGCGTCGTCACCCGCGCCATGCCCCGCAACTGGGGCGGCCAGGAGCTGCTCGAGGACGTCATCCTGACGTCGGATTACTCGCTGCTGCCCGATGCGCTCGCGGTGACGTACAGCATGCAGTACGGCGGGGCGGACAGCCAGCCGATGCTCGACCAGGAGGTGCCCGCCTTTTTCGCCGACAGGCGGCTGAGCGTGCTCGCGGTGTACGAGGGTGCAAAGCCGTGGACGGACGGCGACCTGCGTTTCGCCCTGCCCGGCGGCACGAACGAGTACTTCACGCCAACCGAGCGGTGGGTGACGCTTCCCTGGTTACTGGGCGCCCCTTGACGCCTGGTGTGCTTGTTGACGCCATCAGGAGTGGAAAATGTGGGATGCTTTGGAAGGGTGGATGAGAAAGCCCTCTGCTGCTTTCATGTGTCCCTGAGTGTTGCCCCATAGCCCTTGTCGTCCACCCGCACTGCTGATTACCAACTTGCTGGGTGCCCGGCCACAATTCGCCGCGCATGCAGGTGGGCTGCGTACATCGATCCTGCGACCGGCAGCGGCATCGGCGTTTTTGTTCCCATCGCCTCCGGCCTTACAGCGTGAGCCAACGTGGGGGAAGCTTGGGAGGGAAACAGGGGCGCAGGCGCTAGGACGGGAAGCCCACCGCAGATCGGCCAGTGGCGGGAAGACCAGCCCTGCTGCACTTGTACGCCTGGCACACACGCGCGGGCGCGCGCGAACCGCGCAACGCCCCCCGACCCCCCACGGGCCGTCCACCCCCCCCTCCGCGCGCCCAACCCTGCAGGTACCGCGTCGGCCCGGACAACACCACGCGCGTCAGCGACACGTCGTACTTCGCCCTCCTCACGCGCTTCCCGATCGAGGCCAACTCAACGTTCACCTACAAGGCCTACGTCGCCGTCGGCCGCATCGGAGACATCCGCAGGACCTTCAGACGCATCGCGCAGCAGGAGGGCCTCGCGCCGCCGTCCGAGGCGGCCGCCCCTGCCGCCGCAGCAGCAGCAGCCTCGGATGCGCGGCCGGCGCCAGCGGCGGCGGCTGGCGCGGGCGCGCCGCTGGCGCCGGCACCGGGGGTGCAGGACGGGGCGGCCGCGAAAATTACAGTCGCGGCGGTGCCGGCCATGGCGTCGCGGCGGCTGGGACCCGTGGCGGCGGCCAAGGCGGCGGCTAAGGTGGTGGCGAAGGCGACGCCCAAGGGAGCGGCAGCTGTGCAGCGCAGAGACAGCACCACAGGGAAGCAGCAGCGTCACGGCAAGGCGCCCGGCGCGGCTGCACGGTCGGCGCGGCCAGGGGTTTCGCTGTGATGGGTTTGGCAGCTGTGAGGCGGCGCCGCCTTTGGCGGTGCCTTCGTCGACCCAAGGGCTGCACCACACTAGGCGCCAGCAAATATTTATTGCCTGACAGCCACTTCCTTTGACAGAGATGGCCGATGCCCAGAGGTCCCCGGCAGCACTGCCAAGACTTGTCGCATGGACGCATGCCCTAAGCACCGAGCACGAGCGCGCATCGTCGGCTCACTCATCGCTGCGGCTACCAGGTCGCGACCTAGGACGAGCGCTCGACCCGCACAGGCACTGCTTTGATGAAAGCTGCAATGAGCGGCATTCAGGCGCAGGCACACTGCCATGGCACAGCCCGGGCTGTCTGCATGCACATGCTTATTCAGCGCCCACGGGCACATCCACACATCGGCTTGCAGCCATCCGCCGCTGACCGTCGGTGAACGTGCCAGGCCTTCTTGCCCAGCACCAGCTAACATGCATATACATTCATTTCTTCCGCCCCTTCGCCTTTCCTGCACTCGTCGCACGGGACCAGGGCCCTGCCAACCCACAAGCAAGGCGTTCGCGTCAGGGGCCCCTCGCGCCCGGGCCTACCTCGCGCCGCGCATCCTTGCGGTGCATCACTCGTGATTGCTCTGGCGCGAAAGCTGGATGTATTTTTCCGTTGATGTCATAGGTATTAGGTCAACCTTCCTACACAATTCGCAGGACCCCAGGTGTTGAGTATGGTGGCCACAGCTGGAGTTTCAGCTTCATTACTTGACCCAACAAAGCACACAGCTAGGAATGCACTCGTTGCCAAGCCACGCAGACACATAATCACACCTCACCCACCTGCGTGCATGCAACCCATTCAAACCCCACGCACTTGAACCCTGGTATGGCGCTGGATGCGCCCCACTTGCAGTCACGCTGCATTCCTTGCTCTTTCTCCTGGAAGCCCAGTGTAACCACAGCGCTGCTTTAGACGGGGAGCCACTAACACAAACAAACAGCAGATTCTCACACATTCCTGGATGCACATGTGCGTGTGTATACATGCGCGAACACGCACGTGCGCACGCACTGCATGACCATGCAGTGTGTGCGCACGTCCATGAACGCAAGCGTGCACACGCATCAAACGCCAGGACCAATTGTTGATTGTTGGAATGGCGGCGGACCGCGGCCGGGCTGCAATTGATGGCCAGCTTTCAGTGTGGCAACAGGGCTACGGGTAGAGTGATCGGTCAGGTTTTGGCACCGGACAAAGTATGGTGCGACAGCTGTCTTGCCACCAACGCGACGCATGCAGAAAAGCGTCGCGTCCCAACCCGCAGGCGTTGAACCCATCGGGCATGGAGGTTTGGCAGCATCGCGAGCTGTTCGATAACGGTACAGCAGCAGCTGAGCCCGCGCCTCGGCCGCAGCGTGGCAGCGCAGGACGAGCGCGCCCAGGCGGCGCAGAGCGAGCAGCGCCGCTGCTTGCGGCACACTGCTGCCTGCGTGAGGAAGCCTGGGCCTTGAGCCGCATGTTAAGTGAGGGATTTGTAACCGGTTAAATTAAAAGTTATGTTTGTATCGTGTTGCTGTCTCTTATGATATTCAAGCACTGCTGTGGCGTTCCCCCTTTCTCTCTGTGTTGAGTTGTTTGCAGGTTGTTTGCTTGGTGCGCTGGTCCTTGAGCTCACTACCGTACTATTGATGCCCTCTTTTGTATGATGTGTACACCCACCGTACAGCCACACATCGAAACCGGCTCCCTTCCGCAAAGATCTGGAGAAGGAAGGGCCTTGGGTCACGCTCAGTTCCTCGCATTGGTGGCGTCTCCCTGTACCAAGAGGTAAGCTATTGCAGTATCGAGGCCCAGCTGTCACAGTGCTGTTGCGGCAGTTGCTTGGGTCTTCTACCAGCAGCCAACCTTGGCTGCCTGTTGTCAATACGGAGTGGCTGAACTATTGCTCTCGGCCTTCGCCTGCACTGTGTGTGCATGCCAATCGGGACAGGTTCTTGTTGAAGGGTCAGCACTCAGCGGAGCAGTGGGCAGACAGGGCTGCCTGCATTGAAGAGCATTAAGCAGCAGACAGACGGGGTAGCAACCTTTCTGCTGCAGCTGACGCCCGGCAGGAACAGGCGGACGTCAGTCATACACCAGAAGAGGGATGCAAGTGCGCTCACATACAAGCACCACACCCGCTGGGCATACCACCACCCATGGGCTACAGCGATTTCCAGCTCAAGAAGCAGCAAACGAACAGACCCAAACAATTTACATGCTCAACACAGAGAAAGGCAAACGCCACAGCAGTGCATGTTCTTGAATTGAAGGCAACATTACACACAATAATAAATTGAAACTACGGACAAATGCCTCACCTAATAAGCGGCTCAAGGCCCCACAACGCTTCCTCAGGCAGGCGGCAGCGTGCCGCAAGCCGCGGCGCTGCTCGGCGCCGCCCAGGCGCGCTCGTCCGTGCGCTTCAACGCTGCGGCCGAGGCGCGGGCTCAGCTGCTGCTGTACCGTTATTGATCAGCTCGTGATGCTGCCAAACCTCCACAGCCGACGGGTTCAACGCCTGCGGGCTGGGACGCGACGCCGTTTCTGCATGCGACGCGTTGGTGGCACGACACTCTGCTGCATCGGCAGGTGAGACAGCCGAGGTGACTGCTACCCCAGCACTTGTAAACTGCGGCCGTCCTCTGTGGCCGGGTCGCCACCTCCGGGGGAAGCAGCCAGATTGGCAGGCCTGGGAGCTTCCTGGCCAACAGGGGAGTTGGCCACATCTTCCCGCACAATGGCGGCACGCACGCAGCCGCGCATGCGCAACAATGCAGTGCACAGGTGCCTGGGCTCAGGCCCTAGGCTGCGGCTTGCGCACATGGGCCACAATCAGAGCTGTGCCGCTGTACGGCATGACAAAGTTACTTCCAGACATCTACCCCTCTTGAGTCAGCACTCGCCAAGCCGACCGGCGTCCCCGCAGCAGGTACCAATGGGCAGGGCCTAGTCCTGGTACTTCTGTGACTGTTTGAACATGCTGTCGACCACGATGCAGGCCGCCGCCACGAACGCGGCATCCGCGCCCGCCTCCAGCAGCACGTCGTAGGCACGCAGCCTTGCTGGGGGGCGCCCTGGCTGCCGCGCTGCGACGGCGACGGCTGGCGCCGCTCGGCCGCCGCCACGGCCAACTCGCGGCCGCAGGGCAGCTTCACGCTGACCTGGAAGCTGGTGGCGCCGAGCTCCCCGCCCAGCTTGAAGGTGCTCACACGTGGGGAGCTGCGGAGGTAGACACTCACGGCTGGCATACGGGACAGCAGGAGGTTGGCAGGGTGGGAGCGGGAAGAGTTCAGGGTTTGGTCTGTGCTTGGACGGACATGCAAAATGCGGGAGGCGGTATCTGTGAGCCAACAAGCAAGAGGTTCCGCTGGTTTGTATGTGTGTGCATTCTCCAGTGCAGTAAGTCAGGCCCTGCCCACCTGGCTCTGCACCGAAGAGCTGGCCCGCAAAGGTGGCCAGGCGGTTCCCCTCGTCCAGGTGGCCCCCGCGGTACAGAGCCCACGTGGGCCGGAGGCATCCCACCACCAGCCCCATGCACACGATGGCCTTGCCACAGTTGTCGAGCAGCACGCGCTTTTGGCGGGCGCTGGAAGAGCGAGCCTCCTGCCTGTACTTGCAACAGGGGAAGTGCATCGGGCAGGTGCACAGGCAGGGGAGGGGAGAAGCAGCACTTGCTCTGGATTCGATGCGGAGTGACGGAGGGTGCAGGACAGGGCCAATGTCTGGAGCGAGTTTGGAGGGTATGCCAGGGCACGGCATTGCTTGTGCACTCGCACTTACTGGCATGCGCCAGGCAGTCAGTTGCACAATCAAGCGTACGCAGGCATGGCTGCACGCGCACAGTCACGCACCAAAACATAGCGGCTCCCGCTGGGGTCTGCACCGGCCGAGGCCAGGCGTTCTCGCTGCAGGAGCTGATCTTGCCTGTCTCCACAATCAAGCGCGTGCGCTCCGTGCAGCAGTAACGAAGCGGCGCAAACCACAGGTCGGCGATCGCGGCAGTGGTGGCAACAGGACGGACTTCAACTCCGTGCTCAGGCAGGCCGTCGCATCCGGTCGTGGTGGTGATCGATGGTCAGACAAGCCGGCCCAAGCTGGCTGGAGGGCTGCCCGGCAGGCGCACAGCGCTTAACTCCAACACTCGATGAGATTCATCCCTCCCGGCTCGCACCCCGACATGTCCCCACCTGCCATCACACCGCTGGTGCCAGCGTTGATGACACTGGCAGGGCAGGCTGATGCCGCCAGGGCCCCCGAGCCTGGAAGGTCAGTTGAGTCGCAGCCAGTTGCCAGCTCGTGTAGAGGTGATCCCGTCAGCAGGCCATGTGCTGTGCAGTGCCATTGTGTGGTGGGCGTTGTAATCCAACCTGGTGCATGGCCGCCACGAGTAGAGGCATGCTTGAGTGAGGCGCTAGATTATATTCGGCGTTCACTGTCGCAACATGTGATGACGTGTGCGCGCCCGATGGCAGGGAGGGATGGGGCATCATGCCCCCAAGGATCGAGCACCCTTTGAATAGGGCCAACCCCCCACTAATAACAAGGTCTCACCGGCAATGGCACGTGTTGACTGATCACAGTGGACGATGGTTTCGCTCTGATGCCCTACGCGTGGACGTACTGTAGGAGAGCGGGGTTACGAGCGAGCTCTACAGCTCTTTGCATTTAATAGAATAGATGAAAGAGAAATCACCGAAGTCGCATGCATGCAGTGAGGAAAAAATCCACAGACACGGCTCCCAAGCAGCGTCGGCACTCGCACGGTGAGTGCAGCCACCCCATAGCTCCACCCGTGCTCACCCAAGGATGATCATCACCACGACAGGATGGGGCACAGCACCCTGCACTGCGCCGCTGTGTAACTCTCACCAAAAAGTATAAATGAGTCCTAGTGGAGTGGGTACGGACAAGGTTACCCCACGCACTCGGGCACAGGCGGCGCTGGCGAGCAGCCCGCGAGCACCGCGCACGCATGCGCGCGCATGCGCGTGCCACTCTTGTATCCGTGCTCTCTTTTGACTCTGTGTTTGTGGCCTCTGCGTGCCCACAATCAGTCAATCTAGCGGGCGTGGCCAAGGGGTTGCGGGCGGCGAGGCCAGGGCTCGCTTGAGGAAGACCAGTCCGCGCCCAGTCAGCAGGCCTCTGTCACAGCTGACTTCGAAGGCAAGGCTTCCGCCGCGTTGCCAGCCCAATAAACACTCCATGATGCCTTTGATTGCCCCGGCGGTTGCAGTGCGGGCCCCGCACAGACGCACCGTGTATCATGCCGAGTCCAACGGCCTTCTGCACAGTCTGCAGAGCGTCGAATTCAACGGCATTGACAGAATTACAACAGCGCGCACACGCTCAGCTGAAGGGAGGCATAAAGGCTATTCAAGGTGCGCGATCGAGCGGTGACATGGGCGATTCACACCCGCGCACCAGCCAGCGCGGAGCTTCATGTGGAGCGAGGGCGAAAACGGACGGCCATGCGCAAGAAACAAAGCAGCTGCTGGGCGTCGAACCGGCAGCTGATGAGCTGGCACCAACGCAGCATGGGCCCAGCGCCCCGTACCGATGAGTCGCACCAGCCGAGCCTGCTCACAGATGGAAACACCCCAAGTGCATTGCAACCGAAGATTAGGTGCAGAACAGAGGGAACACAGCGCGGGCAAGGGTGCCCACCCACTGCGTTCGGAGGCATAAACCGCCAGCCTACAGCGGAACGCAATTTGCGCAGGCTGGGTAGCGAGGCAGCGCCGGGCTGGCGGCGCCGCGTTTGAGCAGGGGTGCACTCTCGAAACGGCCGTCGCAGATGCACCTTGCGTGCAATTTAGTGGGACCCCTCGATATGCCCAAGGCAAACACAACCCCAATCAGTGAGGGGCCTAGCTGTGCGCATGCCACAGATTATTTTTGGGAAGATGACGGCTCTGTGAATGCTAGGTGAGCCAGGCGAGCGCCTCCCTCACACATGCACGAACGCGCTGCGGCTCAAGAGCCCGGCGGCTGCCCTCCCTTTCACCGTAGAAAAGTTGGCAAATGCAACGGACGTGCAGGAAGGGAGGCGGGGGATAGGGGGCTGTTGTCCGCGCCGGCGCAAGGTGTTAATTGTGCGCGGTTCCAAAGCAGGGTCGCGGTAGTGACAAATGCTGTCTACGGCTGCTGGCGTAAACAGCGACCCAATGCCGTGGGCATCCCCAGAACTCGGAATGTTCGCCATGGCAGCGCTCACACGAGGGCGGCGCGGGCGCAGCGCGCTTTGCGGGTGCGTCCAAGCGTGCGCAGGGGCCAGGCAAGGGACCAGTGCGTAAGTAGTGACATGTTCGACACGGCAGGGCCGGAAAGCAGCTCAGCCAAATCCACGAGAGGCCCGATGCGCAGGGCAGCAGCACAGAAGACGCGCACTAGCCCCTGCATGCCCGGCAGATGGCGCGAGCCGGCGGTCCTGCTGCAGCAGCGTCCGTCATTCAAGGTTGAGGGCGGCGGTGCCGCGCAGCGGCCCTTGCAAAGCGGAAATGCCCGCATTCTAAAAATCCATACGAAAACCCATGTACAGATGTAACGCGCCTAGATGCTGGATCAGCCTGTGTAAATTTTTAGGACAGCTTGGCCGCCGTGATGCCCGGCAGACTGCACGACGGGGTCAGGAGGCCGAGGATACCCCACGCGCGTCGGACACAAAGGGGAGGTCTGTGCGGTGGCAGAGGGCGCCAGTGCAAGACTGGGGTCGGACGCTGGCCCGCTTGTAGCCGGGTCAATCAGTGCAGGCGGCTGAAGATGGCTGCCAGTGCCGTTTCCTGCAATGGTGGCGCTGCTACTCCTGCTGCTGCTGCTGCTGCTGCTGCTGCTGCTGCTGCTGCTGCCACTGCTGCTGCTGCTGCTGCTGCTGCCGCCGCTGCTGCTGCTGCTGCTGCTGCTTTTGTGAGTCCCCCAACCGCCTGCCGCCAACAGCGACAGCGAGGCGGCTGCTGTTGGTGCTGCTGTTGCTGCTGTTGCTGTTGCTGCTGCTGCTGCTGCTGCTGCTGTGCTATTGCTGCGGTAGGTTTCCGTTGATCGCCATCTGGAGCAGCGCTATCAGCGCCGCTGCCTCTGCTGGCTCTGACTGCGGGTAGCACACCTCGACACTTGGCAGCTGCAACGAGTGCCCCGGGGGCCAGCACCCCGGGAGGCAGGGGTTGTCACGGTCAGGGTGAGGGTCACGCCGTCACTGGACTTCTAAGTCTCTTGGCATGACGCTCGCACATGCACGCACGCATACACACGCGTGCACACGTACGCACGCACGCGCATATGCACGCACTCACGCACGCAACCACGGACACACACACATACACACACACGCACGCACGCACACACGCACGCACGCACACACGCGAGCACGAATCACACGCAGGGGCGACCCCTCCAATGTCCCCCCTTCTCCACACCTCTGCGCGAATCGCCTCTGCCAGGTATTGGGCGTAGAGCCCGTTCTGCGGCAGCAGGCGCCCCGCCAGCACCACCTGGAACGTGCTGGGGGCCTCTAGGCCCACCGAGGCAGCAGCCGTCTTGACTGACCTGAGGGGGCAGGGGGGAAGGGGGCGCCGCGCGCACTCAGGTGCGCGGGCGTGCCCAGCCGTGTGTCAAAGCTGTGTTGGGCGCACGGGCCCAGGGAACGCCGCCGGGCTGGCTCGCCGCCGGCCCCGCCTTGTGGCGCCCGCCCTGCCACGGGGCCGCGCGCCGCCCGCCGCGCGTCCCCTCACTTGAGCAGCTCCCCCACGCCGTGGCGCAGTATGGTGTCGGCGACGGCATCCCCCGCCGCGGCGCAGTCGGCCACGACGCGCGCCAGCCCGCAGATGCGCTCGTGCTGCCCCTCTGCAGGGTGGTACGCCCACCGCACCAGATCCTCCACGCGCGGCAGCCGCAGGCGGCGCAGGAACGTGCGCGTGAGTGTCGTGGCCGCGCCGCGGCTGTCGTGCGCCTTGTGGGCGGCCAGCAGCGCGCGGGAGCCGATGTCGTACGCGCAGCCGCCGTCCATGAAAAGGGGGCCCCAGCCGGAGGTGCGGTGCTGCCGCTGGCCGCCAAAGGCGACCGCCTTTGTGTGGTCGTCTGCACGGGGAGCAGGCGGCGCGCGGGCGCGCAACGTCGCAAAGTGTGTCGGCCGAGCTGAGGCCGCGGAGGTCGCAGGGGCGCATGCGCGCGCCTGCGCGGCTGCTGCGGCGACAGCGGCGGCGGCGGCGGCAGCCGCATGGGTAGGGTCTACTCATCACTGGCACCAACGCAGCCGCTCCGCGCCCGGCATCACTCGCCGTGCCGTCGCGCGTTCCGGCACGGGGTTCCGACCGCGGGATTTCGGCCGCGCCGCCCACCTGCGACGACGCACGCGCCATGCAGCACGCCGTGGGTGCAGCTCGCCAGCGCGGCCGCCGCGTCGGTGTGCACGAGCTTCAGCGCCTGTGCCGGCAGCCGGTTCGAAAGCGCCGCCAGGAGGCCATCCAAGTCGGCATTGGCTTCGCGCACCGCAACAGCGGCGCAGATCGCCGCGACGTCTGCATAGGTGGCACCAACCGACGCCAGGCTGCCGTCGATTGCCGACCAGAGCTCCTTCTCGGATTGAGAGGTGCCGCTGCTGGTGTACCTGTGAATTGATGAGGGTACAATGCGCCACGGCGCGAGGTTTTGATGATGGGGGGCCTGTGCACCGGGCCACAGGCGGCAGAGCAGGCAGTGCTCTGCCGCAGCAGCGCGCACAATGGTCCTGGGTCGCAGCAGCCTCAAATTTCCTGAAAAGCACGCCACACCGCCTGTTTCCAAGCAAGACCCAGGCGTATTGCATGATTGCAGGCACGCTTGCCGCCTGATCCCGACGTTGCTCGGCTCGGGCAGGACTCCCGACGTGAAACGGAACATGCTTATTCTCACCACTTGATGCGTGCACACGGGGAGGCCGCCACTACGCAGGATGTACGCGTCGAGTACAAAACACACTGGCCGGTCTCCGGGTTGGCCACGCACAGCGAGCAGAGCCCGATAACGAGATAGGGCTGCTCCGCCGCCATTCCACCCTCTGTCCCAGCACAGGCTGCCTCTACACCATGAGGGCCCAGGAACCTGTAGTGACGCGAGCCCCTACTGGACCCCAACGATGTGGATGCCCTCTTATTGAACAGACACAAAAGACGCACAGAATTGCGGCAGTGTTGGCCCCATCTGCAGACACCTTGGCATCGGCATTGCAGTAGCTCTGGGAAGCTGCTCGCCGCCTGGTGCTGGCCCTGCTGCGACGCCTTGGGTGGCGTTGAGGACTGTGGTGGCATCAGGGTGGCCGGCGGCTGGTCTGAAACTCGTGTTCAAGGTGCCTGGCGCGCATCAGGCCTCAGCGTCATCCAGGCCCTCCGCCCCCCTCCACCACGCGCATCCGTGCGCCCACACCTAGCGAATTGCACCTACTGGATCTCAGCAGCCCGCTAAGATGCTGATTACCATACCATAGATGAGAATGGCATAAAACCCAAGTTGCACCTGCAGCGGCCAGTCACAGGGCAGATCAGATAGAGACCTACACACCTTTGATTCACTAATCAGGGAGCGTCTCTAACGCTGCATCGGCCCAAAGCTGCGCCGCTGGGCCGCTCTGCAAGCGGATGTGATTGCCCAGAAGTACATAAGGCCAACACAAGCTTTTATGACGGGTTTGAAGGCCGGATAAGCCGTATGGAGCACAGCCAGTGCGCGTCTCCCCGTTTCCAGGTACAGAGACGTGCCTGCTTGTGCTCGAAGCACAACACCCACGCCACAACAGATAAAACATCGCGCTCACATACACGCATACAAGGTCATCACCCCGAACCAAGCGGCCCTCGCCCTCCTTCCCC